GAACGCCAATCCCGATCTGATTGCCCATCTCTGCAACGTGGCCGATCATCGGCTCTACAAGATCGTCAAATGGTGCAAGAGTTTGCCGCTCTTCAAGAACATCTCGGTGAGTATCTTTTTGTAATATTAGTGGAAAATCATTTGTATAATCTCTTATCTGAATTGCCTTTCAGATCGACGATCAGATCTGCCTGCTCATCAACTCGTGGTGTGAACTGCTGCTCTTCTCCTGCTGTTTTCGTTCCATTGACACGCCGGGCGAGATCAAGATGTCGCAGGGCCGCAAGATAACGCTGGCGCAGGCCAAAACAAATGGCTTACAGGTGGGCTAAGATGAAGTGTGGCTGGCCCTAATTATGTTAGTGGAACAACCAGTTGGGCTTCGGGTGGGCTAGAATGTATTTTTGTCAACATCTATAGAGTCTTGGTTGACTTCGCCTCGTGTGTTAGCTAGTAGCTCAAAAATATAGCTCCATTAAATGAATTTAGATGAGCCAGATCTTTTGATCAATGCAGCTGACTTTCTGTTGATTTATGAACATGTTTAACAACTTTGACTCGGAGTGGAGTAAACATATTTGTATAGGAATTTTTAGAGGCTTGTTGCTAACTCTTGTCTAAAGACATAAGAAGTGAAATAGAAATGGCGAAACTTTTGTTCACATACTTTAATAGAGAGATTTACAAATGGTCAAGAAAAATGAAAATATCTGAGTTACAAAGAAAGTTATTTTATTTATATATGTATATATATTCTTTTTTTTTTTTTTTTGAAATTTATGTTTCATTTGCAATCTATTTTATTGTCAATAATAAGAAACTTTTTTGGGATTAGTTTTCAATTGCCAGATGGCTGTAAGTGAGCTCAATACATATATTTAAATATTTACATTATATCACTCTCTGCTTGGATTCTTTTCAAATGCCATCGACTATCACCAATCAATAATGGTCAATAATCTCAATAATCCCATTAAAAAAAAAAAAACATTAACTTGTAAAAATTTCATTCAATTTGGTACATAGTTATATAGCTCTCTGATCCCTGTTTAGTTGACTAAGATACATATATTGAGCTCACTCTTCACTCCCTTCAGCTGTGCTTATAAGAGCTGCAGGCAAGCTTATCATCAGTATTGCCCATTTAGCCCATTTCAGGCTAGATTTGGCCAATTTAAAAGTGGCCTAGCCGATAAAATTTGTAAATAGCCATAAATTTAGCATATTTGCAATTTAATCTAGCATATACTCAAGTTCATATAGTGGTCATCGACATTGGCATGATATTTTATAGCCAATAGCCTGTTATTCCAGCTTTTATTGTAAGATTTTAACCTGTTTTAGCCTACTTTTAACCACAATTCAATTGAATATGGAGCTTAACAGAGAAAACAGCTTAACTATTCAAATCCTATACTAGCACAAAACTCACTCTTATAAAATACTCTTATACGCTTTGTTTGCAGGCCTGCATTGAGCGCATGCTGAATCTGACGGATCATTTGAGACGCCTGCGCGTTGATCGTTACGAATATGTTGCCATGAAGGTGATTGTGCTGCTGCAGTCCGGTAAGTGTGCGCCTCTAGTTGTGCCAAAAAAGAGCTATTACTAATAGTTGAAAATGATATTTTAATATCTAGATACCACGGAGCTGCAAGAGGCGGTCAAGGTGCGCGAGTGCCAGGAGAAGGCGCTGCAGGCTCTGCAGGCGTACACGCTGGCCCATTACCCGGACACGCCGTCCAAGTTTGGGGAGCTGCTGCTGCGCATACCCGATCTGCAGCGCACGTGTCAGGTGAGTGCATAGGAATGAAAATATCTAAGAAATACACCAACTCTAACGCCCTCTCCCTCTCTGGATTTCACTTTGTCTAACTGCAGCTGGGCAAGGAGATGCTGACGATCAAGACGCGCGACGGTGCAGATTTCAATTTGCTGATGGAGCTGCTGCGCGGAGAGCATTGACAAATGCTATATAGGACCATGAAACGCTATCGATGCCGCAGCCGGGCTTAAGGCAGATGGAAGAGAAGAGAAAAAAACAACAAGAACAACAGCAAGAGAAAGAAAATGAAACAAGTTTTATATGATTTAGTAGTATTAGTATATCTATGCATAGTGTTAAGTGCTCTATGTGTAAGCTCTGAAAACATGTGCCTAAACGATGAACCCATTGCCAAAGCAACAACAACAATAACAACAACTACAACAACGTGAGCAACAGCAACGAAATTTTTAGAAACAAAAACTGATAGGACTTAAAAATGAAATGAAAAGAGAAAACATTTTTATAAGCAGCCAAATTATTAAAATTTTTTTTATATATATACATAAAATTATGTATATATGTATATGCAATTATGTGCTCCTAGTGTTGCATTTGATGTTGTTGTTGTTGCTGTTGTTGTCTTGGCAGAGTTTATTAAAATTATATAAAGTTTTTGCTATATATACATAAAATTATATATATGTATAGAARTATATATATAAACGGATTATGTATAGTAACTAAAGCACACATGGAAAATGAAAAGACTTAGAAATTTATTTAACTTTAATATTAAAAGAAAAGAAAGAAAAACAAAAAGAAAACATGCAAAATCAAATTTTCATTTTTAGTTCAAGTAAATGTTTTTTATATGCATATATATGAAATCGCAAATCGAAGGAAAAATCTAAGAATATTTTGTAATAATTAATAACACAAATGCCAAAACCGAAATTGGTTTACGAGAGGAACTGCTAGATTTTCCAACTAAATATATACATATGTATATATAACTGTAACGTGAACGAGATAAAAATCAATTTTTAAATGTTGTAGCATTTAGTTTTAGTGCAATTTCACACATGTCTACTTATATATCGATATATCTATATATGTATATGTATGTATATATATATATATCTCACAATGCAGATGAAACTGAAAGGTAAACTCGATTGTAATTGCCGCCGCGTGGCATAAACTATTCCAGTGATGCTATTTGTTGCATAAAAAACATAAACAAACTACATTAATCAAATTTATACTTTTTTGTCATTACAACAACAACAACAACAAGAACAACAACAACACACACACAGCTATATGAATATTTGTAACTGTAACTGTATGCGTATTTGAATTGTATTTTGTATTCTTTGATTAATGTTTACATATGCATATATATATGTATGTATATGTATGCGTGTATATTTTGTTTTATTGTAATTCTACTTAATAGCTGAAGCAAATCCTGTAACAGGATTTAAAACATTTACCGATTACATACAGTTATTTCTATATAGTATATATATATATATTTTTTGTCAAGGCGTAAACAAAACCTAGATTCGATATAGCCAGCATAATGTCTATATATATTTATGTGTATGTGTGTACGTTAACTATATATAAACAAAACAAAAAGAGAAAGAATGAAAAAAAAATGAAAACTTCCAGCCCCACCAGCAAATAAACCGTAACGATAAAAACAATTCCAATAATTTAAATGAGAAATACAGTAAAAGTAAAAGAAAATAGTTAAGGCCAGGTGAGGTATTCCTCAATATTCACGATCTTTTCTATATATACATATATGTACTAAATATGTGTATACTATATAAGCTGTGATTCAAGCAATGTTGAGATTAAGTATTCGCTATCACAGTAAAAAAACAAACAAACAAACAACCACACGCACACACACAAAATCAAAATTAAATTGTTTATTTGATAGACTAACTAACCATTGTCCATTAAAATAGTAAAGGGAAACGAAAACTCGGCTGCTACCTGGCCCCATAAACTTAAATGCTAAACTTAAATGCAAATAGTTAAATGTTAATTTAATGCAACAAGCTCATAACTAAATATCAATATACAATATACCATAGTTAAATGCAATTGTAAACTGATAATCAAATCAAAATTAATTTATAGTTATCTTATCTTACGATCCCCCTCGCCTTCTCCAACTCCTCCCATAACAACAACAACAACAAATCGAAAATTGTAGCAGCGAACAAGCATTCAAAGAACAACAACAATTTTGTAAAAGAAAAACCAAAAGTCTTGAAACCCTTTTTGCAGCTTGTGCTTAGACTTTACTATATAAGCTCTTCGCTTAAATAGTTAAAGTTGCACTAAAACAAAAAAGAAGTAAGAAAATTCATTTACTTGTAATTATCAAAATTATTTAAGCTCTAGCTTAATTCTTGTGCTTGTCTCTTGCGCTCGGTGCTACGTTTTTCATCTACTCATCCATAGTAAATATTTAATTTCATTTTTTTGATAAGTGTAATAACGGAAATTCAAATGACAAAAAAAAAACACAATTAAATCAAATTAATTGTCAATGCAATATTTTGTAATAAACTTTTTTTCAAAAAAAAAAAAAAAAAAAAAATATCTATATATAAAAACAGTTGTATTTACTTTAAAATTCTTCCAACATGTTGGTTATTCATCATTTCTTTTTTATATAATAGCTTTTTTTTCAGATTTTACTGGTATTTTGAAATATATAAAAAGTGAAACTAGATGAAAAAAAAAAGATCTATGTAAATCCTAAAAACACAACTTTTGTTAGAATTTGTTGGGATATGATAAACGAATGAAAAGTAGAATCAAACTATATATTTTTTAAATAGTTTCATTTTCTGTGTTTTTTTTTTATTACTATTTTTTTATTCATTTAATTTTTTTTTTTTAAACAATTTTTCCCCTTTTTTTTTGGGTATGTTCAGGGAGATTTGTTTTACTTCTTCATTACATTTTCTTTTTCAACTGTATTTTCTATTACTATTAATTTTAATTAAAAGTTTTCTTTAATGAAAACCAAAAGTAACTAATTTAATTTAATTAATTAATGAACATATTTACTATATACTTGACTAGTTATTATTTTCTTTATTCGTATTTGTATTTTTATTTAAATTTTATTCTCATTTAAATCAATTTCATTCAGCTGATTTCTACACTTTAGCTACTATTACTTATAAATAAATTAATGGAGCAGGAGCAGACAGGGATGTCATTTTTGCAAGTTAAAAGCTATGAAAGAGGATGTATTAGGGGGATTTCTGTATCGATATCATCTCTCTACTTACCCGAGTACTGGCTGAGATTACAGCTGGTTGTCTTGTTAACGAAATCGACTGACTGCGGATCGGAGTCACCATCGATGGGCATTTCATAAGGAGCACCGGAGCAAGTCATCATAGCACAGGGCGTAGGGCAGGGCATAGAGTAGGGCATAGAGCAGGGCATCTGACAGGGCACTCGACATGGCATTCGACAGGGCATCTGACAGGGCATAGGGCAGGGCATTGGGCAGGGCATCTGACAGGGCATTGGGCAGGGCACAGGGCAAGGCGCGGCACAGGCATAGCTACACGGCATGCTGGGCCCAATCTGAGTGGCAGAGCATGGATGCATCGCATAGCTGCTCGGTTCGGGCATCGTCGTGCAGGGCGGCGAAACACAATAACTGAAGTAGGGAATTACACGAAATTAATTTAATTAAGAAAAAAATAACAATCTTAGATTTACCTTATGGGCGGTGTATGGCTCATGCAGTTGCTGCAGGTGGAGCAGGCGTTGCAGCTGGTGTTATTGCCGCAGGTGTCGCATTTGGGAAAGTGGTTGAATGAGTTGCCCGGGGCATTGACGGGCTTATAGTCCGTTGAGTAAACGGTCTGATCCTGCAGCTCCTGAGGAGCAGCATTGCTGTCGTTGTTGGAGCCACCGCTCCTGCTCATGCCAGCAGCTGCCCCCGGTCCTTGGCCTGCCCCCTGAGCCATGCCGAAGCCTAGACAGGGCGGCGAGGGGCTGGTCAGACAGTTGGGATGGCACTGATTTTGCTTGGCCAGCACCTGCTTTATGAATCCCTCAATGTCGATGCAGTTGCTGTTGCCGGCTTGAGGCATCTGCGCATAGTTTGGACTGCTCGGAGCCGGGTAAGAAGGCTGGCAGGGGGGCGTGTAGGAGGATTGATAGGCGGTCGGACAGGAGGGCTGATAGGAGGACTGCGGCGGGAAGAAAGGTGGCGGCGCACAGGTAGGTGGCTGACAGGAGGGCGGCGGCTGATAGGTGGGCGACGGCTGATAGGTGGGCGACGGCTGATAGGTGGACGGCGAATTATAGTAAGGCTGCGACGGCTGGCTGTACATGGCTCGCAGATCAGCTGCGGGTGGGCTACTGCACATGTTCCTCATGTTGGGGCCCATCGGATCCATGTGGCCGGCTGCACTGATGCCACTCACCTGCTCTGCGCTCTGGGGGAAGGCGAAGCTCTCCGTGGCGTGCATTTCACAGGCGCAGCCAGGACACTTGCCTAGGGAACTATTGCCCGATCTCTTCGACTGGGCATGCTCCATCTCGGAAGCTTCGCTGTGCTCCTGGCTAAAGCTATTCGCATCCGACGTCTGCTCTTTGCATTCGCACTCCATTTGACTCGAGTTGGTTTCGGATGCATTATAACTGGGCTTGCTATAGATCATGGATGCATTCGGGTACGTCTCCGATTGATATCTGTTGGAGTTGTTGTCGTTGTAGGATCCGGCTACGTTGCGCTGCGGTTCCTGCTGCTGTTGTTGCTGGGACTGTGGCTGTGGCTGTGGCTGATACATTGCTGGAGCTTGGTATTGCATATAATTGTAGTCCATGCCAGGAAACGTCTGAGATTGCATGTACCTAAAATATTCATCCTCTGGCATTGGATTTTGATAGGATCCCAAAGTGCTGGACTGACTAAAGTGATTAGCATTACTAAGAGACATGTCCATGCCCATGCCCATTCCCATATCCATTCCCATACCCATTCCCATATTATTTCCTATTTTTGAAGCCGTCTCTAGATCCATCCCTAATGCCATAGGCAATCCCATCTGCTGGGCATAGTATTCCGTTGCGCCAATCTGATCCGTTACTCCGATTTTTGGCTTTGCATTTCCACAGCTCATCGAATGCAATTGATTTCTTATGTTCGAATAATCTATGGTAGACATTTTTTAATCCAAGGATCTCTTATCTCTCATTTCTCATCTCTGATCTCAGCCCCTCTCTCTCTCTCTTTCTTTTTATCTTTCTCTCTTAAAAATGAAAACCTTTTAATATTTAACTCTCTCTTTCTCTCACAGAAACTCACTCGATAATGCTTCTCAATCTATATATCTCTCTCATACTGTCACTGCCATATTTTAATTTGTCTATAAATCAATATCTTTCTCACTCTCGCTCTCTCACTCTCTTTTTCTCTCTCACTCTCTTTTCGGTTTGTCTAAGATCTTCTACTTACGTTGGTATTGGTTGCCTTCTGAACTTTTTGGACTACATTTCTCATCGCATCCCTTTTCAATTTCACCAGAATGCATACGGAAAGAAGATCTATAAGAACAAAAGTCCAAAAGTTAATCAACCATTTTAATAAGCTCCCATTAAGTTTGCCATACGATTTTTCTTCTTCGGACACCACTGGAGTTTCTGTTGCGTATCCCGTAATCTTCTGTGCATTTACTGATGTGGAGGAATCGTCTTCTGGTTTCTTTGTACTTACTGATAACGAAGAATCGTCAGTTTTCACAGCGTTTACCGAAGTTGAGGAAAACTCTATAGACTTCTCTGCTTTAACTTTTTCATTTTCTACAGTTCTATCCTCTTTACTGTCCTCGTCTGAGCTCTCACTCTTAGCTTCCTTCAAGGTGGTCGTAGATGAGGTGCTTTGCTCGAGCTTAACTGTGGCTGGTATATAGGTCTTATAGATCTCATCGATACTCTCAATGGCATCCAACAGAGTTGCGTTCTCTTCTCGCTGGGCCGAGCTTAACGATGTTACATCAATGATATCCATAGTGAAATACCAACACCGACCGAATCGCTCGACAGATCAACCCAACCCTCGACTCTTTGGCTCACCCATAACAAGAGCACCACAGAGTGAATATACCCGAAATTTTGATAGGTGCTTTGACAGTATTTTCCCTTTTTAACTTGCTGTAAATGTTTTCAACCTTTTAATGGATTCAAAACAAGTTTTTCAATCTGTTCGGCTACTATGATCTTATTGCTTGGAAAAATATTAATCATAGTTTTTAATAAATCTTAATTTATCAGACTTTCTTTTTAAATTTAACTATAGGTTTATTTTAGTTTAATAGAATAATATATGAATATAT